AATTGGCGAATTTAAGAGAGAATTAGATTTAGGGGTGGGATAATTGAACAATAATTGTGAACGCGAAGATAGCCTTGGAACATTAAAGGATAGTTGATTGAGAAATAAGAGGACAGTCTATAGAATTATTGCAAAGCTTAAATAAGACATAATTGTACAGATAAATCGACGTGAGGCAAGGGAAGGAATACCAAATTCTTTTAGTAAAGTGTTGTGGTCAAAGCCACGTTCAGGGTAAATTTTATAGTTTTATAATAAAGGTATTTCAGAAATTTTCGCTGAACCTTCTCTATCGCATCAGAGTTGTTGATATGATGAGGATACCAAATAATCGAACCGTATTCTAATTTTGAACGTACAATAGAATAGTAAATGCAAGAAGTGCATTGGTAGACTTAAATTGTTTACAATTCTTAGTAACAAACCTAAGATTGATGTGCTCTATTGCAAATATCAGTAACATGATCTGTGAAAAAACAAACAGAATCAACTAATAGAACACCTAAATCGGAAATTTTATTACATCTATCAATGCTGGTGTTAGAAATTTTATAATCAAAAAGTATTGGAACGCGCTTATGTGTAAAACTAAGAATCTTGCACTTTGATATATTAGATGTAATTTGTATAGATACACCAAGATTGGAAAAGGTCAAGTTGAGACTGTATAATAAGCAGTCATCAATAGAATTTATTTTGAGATATAGTTTCAGATCATCTGCAAATAATAAATGTGGACAGTTAATAGTATCAGAAATGTCATTAATAAAAATAATAAATAATAGTGGACCAAGAATGGATCCCGAGGAACTCCTGAACTAATATTTCCAATGTTGCTCAAGAATCATTAAGAAAGACAAACTGTTTACGATTATGAAGATAACTCTTGAAAAGTGAATAAGTGAAGAATTAAGACCAATCTTAGATAATTTATAAGGAGAATGTTATGATCAATTTTGTCAAAAGCTTACTGAATCAGTGTAAATAACGTCAACTTGTCCATTGATGTCAGAATTCTCAGCTATATATGTTAATACAAATTAAATTTGTTATCGTAGAACGGGGCAGGCATGAAACCAGGTTGATTAATAGAAATTAAAAGTTCTAACAGAAGGAATTAGTTCTCTATAAAAATTTTTCAAATACCTTAGCAAAGTTTGATAATAATGATATCGGCCTTAATTAGTAAAATGTTTGATGTAACACCTTGTTTAAAAGTTGGAACTAATCGTACAATTTTCCAACAATTGGAAAAGTGTTTGTACGCCAAGATAGATTAAATAAATGCAAGTGGATCAGATAGAGTAGATGAGCAATCACGTATAAAGAAAGATGGAATACCATCGAAACCAAATATTTTGGAGTTCTTAAAACTTGCTATTGCATGTTGCACCAGTACTAGAATCAATTTCACTATATCAATCATGATTCTATCATTATGATCAATAAAATGGGTATGTCAA